CCAGGTAAGGCGGCAGCCCTGCCCCTGCCCGCTCGGGGCCACCAGGGGCGGGACCCTGCTAAAGACCCTAGCGCTGCCTTTCCCCCAGGACAGCCGTGGGGGAGAAGCCAACACGGGGTGGCTCTTCTTCATTTCTTCCCTGCCTGCTTCACCCCCTTCCCCTGCTCTGCCTCCCCCTTTTGCACAGGAGCAGCTGAGCCCTGCCAAGGATTTCTGCTCCTCTGGGGGCTTTACTTCACCCTTCTGCTGCTCCGCGACTTTTCCAGGCACCTTCCCTTTTGGGTGGTGAGAGAACATCTCCACGGCTGGGTTTTGCTTGGGTCTTGTGTTTGTTGGTTGGTTTTTGCTGGGGAATATGAACTGTATTCTAGTTTAATTGTATTCTAGTTTTTGTACTGGTCTTTCACTTTTCAAGTGAGCATCCCACTAGGTTCAAGGAAGCGTTGTCTCTAGCATTGCAGGTTCAAGGGGAAAAATAGGAAAGGAGAAAACAGAATTAGAAACCTGAACAGTTAAAAAAAAAAATCCAGGTTCTAGAAATGTATTAATTCAGGGCCAGAAAAAGCAGGGAAAGCAAAGCAGTGAAGAACTACATTTTGAAAGCTGCTTGGTTTTCAGCACCCAGGAACCTAGAGATTTCAGCTTGAAATTACACAAAATTGGTATTTTGTTTGGACGTTTCCCCTGGAAATGTTGTACCACTTGTTTAGCAGGGGGAAAAAATCCTTTTTTCCTGGCAGGAGAATTCATTTTTGGCAGAATTCTACATTTAGAAGATAAGAACGGCCGTTTAGTGGGTCAGCCCATAGGTCCGTCTTGTCCAGTCTCCTGTATCACACAGGGGCAGAGAGCGGATGCTGAACTGGGGATAACTTGGGCTTTTCCCACTCCACTGCTCCTCTCTCACTTACCTCCTCCAGCATTTAAGGTCCAGGAAGGTCTGATTCAGAGGCTGTGCCCCTCACTCTTGTGGCTCAATAGCTACTGATGCCCTTTTCTTCCAAGGATTTGTCCAATCCCTTTTTGAATCCAGCTAAACTCGATTTAATCAGGAAGATTTTCTCTTCCTCCCCTGACAGAAAACTACAACCCAGATATAGAAGTGAATGTAAAAAGTGTGAATTGCTTCAGAAAAGGAAATTCTGGTTGTGAGGCAGATGATGAGGGATGTTTTGGGTTTGGGGCTTTTTCTTAAATTTGGATAAATTGGTGCTTTGCAACCCTTTCAGACTTAAGGCGCCCCTCAGAAAATGCTAGCTCTATGCTTTCATTTGTTCTTTGCCTATGGAAAACTAGCAGAGCAATTCTACTGTTGCAGACTTCTCAGAAAGATTTCAGCATGTCAGCATGTTTTTGACACCATGGATTCCTATTGGAAATCTCTGGGTTTATCTTACGAATCAAGGTGTTTGTATACCTAACAGTGCTAATATTGCACAGCATCCTGCAGCACCCTTAAAAGGATCTCGGGCACCCTGGGGTGCTGAGGCACCCTGGTTGAGAATCATGGGGATAAATCATCTGCCAGGATAAGGATAATGACACTGCACTGAGTCTAGAGTAGACACCTACCTAGAACAAACAGTTCTGTACAGTTATACAGTGGGCATTTCCCAGAAAACATCAGGCAGTACCCTGCAATTATTATGCCAGTTGCATGACACAAGTTTAATCCAGTGTTTCAGGTTTTCCTCTTCTCTTGAGGATGATATATATGAGTGAGGTCACTGCAGCTGCAAGCTGTGTTGCCTACGTAGATGCGAATAAGACAGCCTTCTGTGTTGTGAGGGAAGCTAATCTGCCTGATCTCCACTGAGAATGGGATTTTTGTTTGTTTGCTGGGGGAATTTCCCACTCAGCTATCCCCAGGTATAAGAAGCTTTGAAAGAAATGGGGCAGCATTTTGATTTTTTTTCCAAAGGGTTTTTTTTTTCTTTTTAAATTGATGAAACTTTTTCATTTATTTTTAATCCTATTCCATTCTCATGTCATGATTTTTCTATTGAAGCCCAACAATTGTGGTTATGATTGTGGTTATGAAATTTTTTTTTTTAATAAAAAAGTTCTATTGGAGGACAGAGTGTAAAACCCACAAAATATTTGCTGGCAAATTTTAAAAGGAGTGATTATACCAATAGAACTTCAACTATTATTTAAGTGTTAACACTTGCACTTTGGGGCTTTATTTTAATTTTAGTTTTGTTTTTAATCACTGCTTTTGGATCCCATGACATAAGGGCTTACGGCTCATTCGGAGCTGTGGGTTGAGTTCTGGAATCAGTAGCCAGGCATCTGTCTGCTCATGTTACTTTGGAGCCAGATTCTGTGTGCATGCCTGTATACACATTTACTCTGCAAGTAACCCAGTTGGAATCCAGGCTTGAATGAAGGCAACACTCAGCACCTGTCTACACAAGGAAATTGACTGGCGTTAACTATGATGAGCTGTAAAAGTACACTAATTATTTTTGGAATAATGTGACTTTTATTCTGGAATAGAGTATACATGGATCTATTCTGGGGTGGATATTCCATATGACTAACTGGTATTTTGCTGGAGTTATGTCAGTCAATTTCTTTGTAAAGCCTAGCCCTTGGGAAGTATGTCAACTTGCTTATTATGGTTCTTTGTATAGCCAGGTGGCTTCATCCCCAGTTGTCCTGCCCTCACTCAGCTTGTGGGACCAGTGCCCCAGGAGCTCCTGGTGCTGGGGGGCAGGCATTACCATAATGCACATTCTTCTTCTGAGGAATTTCCTGGAGCGCCTCCCTGTCCCAAGCCAGCCAGAATGGAGCTAAGTGGGCAAGCTTGATAACCCTGTATTTCTATTTCCCTTCTAGGATCCCTGTCTTGCACCCAGCTCTGCAGAATGACACTCTTCAACGGCATTTTTCCCTTCTACTGGCAGGGCAGGAAACCATTTGTTTTCAATGTCAGCATCATCATAGTCATCATCATCTTCCTAACATTAACACTCAGCTTCCTACTCATCCTGCCTGGGATCCGTGGCCGAGCGGTGAGTGACCCAGGTTGACCCTGCCCACCTTGGAACCAATTTCTGATTCAGGTGTTATGGAAAGGAGAGAGAGATAGACCACAAGCATAGAATATTGCCTTACAGAAAGCAGGCAGGCGGGAGCTGCACGCAGTTTTCCCAAGGCACCACTGCCCTCTCACAGCCCACTGCCTTGCAGTTTTGGCTCCATGGCCCTCCAGGGGAGCAAACCCAGTTCCTTTTGTCTCCCCACAAAGGAGATCTTTCAGATTTAAAGGAAGCCTCAGACTCTTTCCTAACTGGAGCCAGTAATCCATTGTATAAGTCAAAGCTAGGCTTGGACTTAGTTATTCTCTTCTCCCCTACATCCACGGCTGCCCAAGCATGTGGAAATATCAGGGCATGCTGCATGGTCCATGTTCTCTCCTTGTCCTGGGAGGTGTAGGTCCACAAGTGAGGCTGGAACCACATTGCTTTTGTGCCACACAAATTTCCAAACCACAAAGGGATATTATCTGTAGATCAGGTTGCTTGATGTTCAATTCAAGGAAGGGAAATTGATAGAGAAATGAATCCCCAGATTTAGCAGCTAAATCAGAGATTCACTGGCATGGTTGGAGATGCTGACAGGGCTGCTTCTAGGAGTCCTACTTAGGTTTCCAGTAATGGCCATGTAGCCTAAAGGAACCTGTGCACTTTTCAGTGCTAGAGACACCTTTGCACAAGACTGCTGCATTTGTGAGACAATGGCTGTGGAGTGGAGGGCAGCAGCACTGGAGTCCTGCCCTGCAGCTCTTGTTGCTCAGTCCTGAAGTCCTTTGTCTCCAGCTCTGCAATGTAGCCCCAGAGGCTCCAATTCTGGACTCCCTACCCCTCCAGCCTGCAAGTATTCCCCTAGTCTAGTAGGCTGACAGCTCTGCTATACAAGTCCTAACCTTATCCTCTTTCCCGCCTGCCCCCAAGAGTCTTGCTGTAATTCCAGTTATATTACTCCTCTTTATTGTACTAACACCCAGGAGCCACACCTAGGTACAGCGCTAAGCACTGTGCTGATACACCTCAAGATGCTGTCCCCATGCCAGGGATCTAGCAGCATTCCCATGGGCTTTGTTCCTTCTAAAATGCCTGGTTTAATTTTGCTGACTGGGGAATGAGAAGTGAGAATAAGATGGGATCCTCCTTTGTTCCTCATCATCTTCTATCTCTTTTTCTCACAGAGGCTGTATTGGCTGCTCCGGGTCATTCTTAGCCTGTTTATCGGGGTGGTGATTGTTGGTAAGTGCTTTACCTCATCTGTGATGCACAGGAGCTGGCAGGATATGTTCCCGGAACAGGGATGCAGCTAAGAATTTCCCAGTTGGGAAGCTTTGATATGTGCGTCAAGGAAGCACAGGCTAGTGGTTAAAGCACAGGCCCCACAGGCAAGCAACAAGTGACCTGCTCCTAACTGTGCCCAACTCTTCCTCTGGGACAAGTCACTTAACTTCTCTGAGCCTCAGGTTCCCCATTTTTGAAATGACATTGCCAGTATTTTAAGGAATACATGGCCACCCAGGAACTGTGCCACAAGAGTTTCACAGAGGACAGAAATTAATTGCCTCTATGATTAAATGCACAGGCCCTGTTGCCCAGTCTTGCAGAATGGGGTCTTTGACCACAGCCAAATATTCTTCATTCCAGTCAGCAGAGGGTGGTAGTGTGCATGTGTACAGCTACATGAGTGTGACTGTGTGTGTGTGCACACTAGCTGACACATTGCTGATTCCTCCTGTGGACGCTGAGCTTTGAGGCTTCCCTATTTGCAAAGCATTTGGGGACCTCAGATGGAAAGTGTTGTAGAAATGCCAAGTTTTGTTAGAACTGGTGAGGCCTCACCTGGAGTACTGTGTCCAGTTTTGGGCCCCACACCTCAAGAAGGATGTGGACAGATTGGAGAGAGTCTTGCAGAGAATAACAAAAATGTAGAGGCCTGGAAAGCAAGACTTGTGAGGAAAGGCTGAAAGAGCTGGGGTTATTTAGCCTGGAAAAGAGAAGACTTGGGCGGGGGGCAGGGATTTTATAATAGTCTTCAAATACCTAAAGAACCATTTTAGAGAAGATGGAAATGGGCTTCTCTCTGTGGCCACAGGGGACAGAGCTAGGAGCAATGGCCTCAAGCTTCAACAGAGGAAACTTAGATTGGAGATTAGGAGAAACTTCCTGATTATGAGGATGGTCAAGCATTGGAACAGGCTGCCTAGAGAAGTTGTGTAATCTCCATCCTTGGATATTTTCAAGAGCTGGTTAGACAGACCCTTGGCAGAGACAGTTTAGTCAGGGACGATCCTGCCTTAAGTAGGGGGCTGGTCTAGATGGCCTTGTGAGGTCCCTTACAGCCTTATTTTCCTAGGAGAAGTCAGGCCACAAAAATCCAAACGGCACCTGTACATGGCTGGGGTTCAGTCCCTAGTTTACAGACACTAGATAAAGGTGGAAACAACTCTTGTAATGTGCTGTGCTGGAGTTCAGAGAAGGAGCAAGGAGCAGGGGTCATGTCTCCTATCCCGCTTTCCATTTGAGCAACTTTACTTTTCTTCAGGCACTTGAGAGCTATCAAGTGCTGTTCTTGCTCTCTGGCTAAGTGCTGCTTGGATGCAGAAGAATAATGAATTGTTTTAAAGTGAAAGCCAGGAATTTCTCTGTTTTGGCACCATCAGGCAGCCTGGTTTGTGTTCTGTAGATAGATAAACTTTCCATGAGGCTCCTGTTGCATTAGGGCTCTGCTAATAATGGATATTTCAGATCATCAGCTGGGGAAAAAAACAAATTTGGGGAACCCAAAAAATGTTGTGTTTAACTTGAAATGACATATTTTGTTATCAGGTTATATAACCTTTAAAAAAATCAGATTAACTTTGAATTGAAAATCTTGTTCAAAATGAGAAGTTGGATCTTCTTATTTCAGTAATGTCAAAACAAAACCTTTTGCCTTCTCCAAAAATTCTCCTAGTGTTTGGGAGGGAAGGGCACGGTTGTTTTATCAATGGAGCCTGTTCACTGAACCAAAACTTGCCTGTAGCCTGGGTCACTACTGCCCCAATTGAACTATTCTGGCAAATTTAACATTTCCCCCTTTAAATTAAACCCTGCCCTGCATCAGATAGTGTATATCTAAGGATCTGGAAACACTCCATGGGCCGTTTTTTTCCCCCTTTGGCAAGCAGTGTGCCTGTCTGCCACAAGTTTCCTGTACTTTATGGCCTGAAGATGTGGATCATGTAGAGCACTGCTTCCCAGACTCAGTGGGTTTTCACTCCACCACAGTTAAATCAGGCTCACTCATGCCTCCTCCCCCCCCACACTTTAGCTGCGAATTCCCCTCAGCGAGGGGGAAAGAGATGGTAGCCGCTGAAGTAGAGAGGTGCAGGATTGGCCTGCCATGATTCACATGCCCTCCTCCAAATGCCCTCCCAGAGCTGGGAGCCACTGCCTTGGGTTTGGGGCAGTGCCACAGGGGCATTTTGACCCTGAACCTGCCTGCAACACAAGATGAGAGCACATGGCCGTTCAGGTTCTCCCATACATACCCCCACAGGGGACCAGAAGAGCTACAGATTAATATAGACACTTGTTAAAAGGTGGACAGCCCAGCACAGGGTAAGCATGAGGTACCAAGGTCCTTGTGTGTGTGGGATGCCCAGGCCTGTCCTCAGCCTATGAAGCCACAGATGCATGTTCCTTTGAATCACTGCCAGGCTTAGAAGGTCCTACTGGATCACACCTGCACCAGAGAGACCCTTGTTCCCAAGATGCAGGTGCCCTCTTTGCCACAGGGGACTTGCAGTCCCACCCTCCCTCCCAGCTGGAGGGGAGAGATGGGCCTGGGGTGTGCACTAGGATCCCTCAGGGCTTGTCTGGTCAGCATCAATGATCAAACAGGTGATTTTTTTATTTTTTTTTTTTGGTTCACTTTCTGGGGTCAGCAGTCACCTGAAGCATGACAGGGCTGAAGTCACATCCAGCTGCCTTGGCCGCCTCAACCTGAATGGCCCATTCACACTTGAGCCAAGTTTTGGTATGAGACTAGAGCAGGGCTCAAACCCAGACCTCCAGAACCATACTTTTAACTGCTTTGGCTGCTCCTCCACCTCCTTGCTCCTGCAATAAACCCCACTAAAGGCAGACTTCCCCACCCACCTGCCACCAAAAACTCGCGAATCATGGTGTAGTGTCTGCCCCTCACTGATCCCTCTACCTCTCACAGTTGTTCAGTTCAGTGGGAACTGGGAGACCGGCTGGGTGACAGCGAAAACATCCTATAAGTCCTTCAGCAATGCTGTGGTGAATGCGGACATCGGGCTGCACATCGGCTTGGCGGGAGTCAATGTCACACTAGTAGGTGAGTACTGGGAGTATTGCGTATGCATCTGCAGTACTGGGATGCATCAGCAGGTGAAGCAATAGCTAATGGACCTGGCCCAGCCTTCCCATCCTTCTCCTTAACATCAGGGCCCTCACTCTTGTGTAGGGGCAGTGACTCCATTACCACCATGTGCCTGTTCCTGAATATCTCTGGCCATAGCTGTTATCCCCCTGGTGGCTGGACCTCACAGGAGGACAAGAGATGCTAGTCATATGAAATCCACTTTTCCAGGGGTTAGAATCCAGTGGCCCTGCCCCCTGGTTTATAAAATCTCCCTTCTGGACTCTGACACAAAACCCACCAGAACTCTTCAAGCCCAGGAAGTAGGACAGGGAAGAGCTCTGTCAGGGCAGGCTGGTGGCATTACAGGAAAGAGAGCACAGCAGTACTCATCCCCTGCCCTTGGACTTAATAATTGGCCCTCTACTAGTACCAGATCCCGACACACCAGGGAAGCTCTGTTCTGCATCCGTGCCTAAGGTGGAGCATGTTGTTTTGGCAGGAAACCCAGTGAATCAGATCAATGAAACCATCAACTACAACGAGCACTTTTCCTGGAGCTTTGGAGAGGACTATGACCTCAGCTACAGTGAGGGCCTGGAGCGGGGGCTGCCGCGTCCCATCCTGTACGTGGCAGAAAAGTTCACTCTGAACAGCCCCTGTGGTGTGCATGCCCAGTACCGCATTTCCAGCCACTATGCATCAGCTACCATGTGGTGAGCCTCTCTCTCCTGCTATGGGGAACTGGGCAGACTGCTCCCAAGGGGCAGGAGGATACAAAGTGGCTGGTGTGTGCCCCAATTCTGCAGTGGGTAGTTCAAGGGGGTTCTTCTGCAGTAGCCAGCACTGGACTCCCATTCCCTTGCAGACCCGGCCTGCTGGGGTGCGCGTGCATCCCACAGAGATAAAATGGGGGGAGAATGGAATGAGTTGGTGTAATCACTTCAAGCAAATCTGCAGAAGTGACAAAGCTATGAGGACTGAAGCTACTAAGTGCACAGCAGGTGCTTCAGTACTGAGGGAGGAGCCTTGCATTAGTCTCCTGTGTGTGAATGTCTTGCCATTGTGGCCATTGTCCATGTTGTGTGTGTGAGCAGAAGAGACAGTGCAGGCAGTTTGGCTCTGCTGCATGCAGTAGAAACTGGAAACGGGGTCCTTCAAATGTGACAGAAATCCTTTCAGTGACCTGGAGCCGGGGCCCTGTCATGATAGGGAAGTTATGATCTTGAAGGTGTGTGGTGGGTGGGATTCATTTCCTCAGGCATGGGGGTGATTTTCCTGAGAGAGACATGAAGGAAGAGAGGAGGAGTGCAGTATGCACCCTTCCCAGAGGAAAGAGCTCACTTGTCTGTGAATTATGATGTCATTTAATGACTGGCACTCAGATAATGAGAGAGGTTCAGTCACCAGTATCAAAGCTGGGTGCTGGTTATGATATTACCCTGGAGCTCCTCACCTTCCTTGTTGCTGTGCCTGCCAGGTAGTTAAGCTGGGCTGATTGCATGGGCAGCAGAAGCAGTCTGGTGGATTGTGAACTCGTGGTGCAGGTGCCTCCTCTTGCAAGTCCGGGAAGTGTGACTCAGTGCTTCTCTCACCACCCTCAAGCCAGTGCAAGCACATGAGGAGAGGGACCTTGGAGAGAGCAAAGCTGCTGCATGGCTGGGGTAACCCTGGGCTTGGCAGCTCTCAGCAGAAGCTTCCCTGGGTCACTCGGCAACTTTCTGGGCCACCATTAGTTTGGGTGCAACTCCTGCTGACACCCATGGAGTTGCTCTGAGTTACACCAGCCATGAACATAGCAGCTGCAGATCATGCAAGGTAAAGCACTTGTTTAGCGGACAGTGGCACAGCCAGTCCTTGTGGGGTGATCGTGGCTCCCTCTACTGGCTATTCCATGTCCATGAGAAGAACTGTGCTTTTGGCAACGTGCTGCCTTGATGCAACAGCTCTGCTGTCTGTTAGTTGTGGATCCCAGCCCTGCATGCACTGCATGTCTTGCCTGCAAGCTCACCTAACCAGAGAGCAGCATGGGTGTCACAACCCCCGAGTTATGCCCTCAGGTGCTGCCCAGAAAATCTGTGGGTAGACAACCAAGCCAGGTGTTTCCCTGCCTGATGGCTGGGACTCCCCAGGAAGGCTGAGCAAAGGGTGGATGTTGCCCTGCACCAATGTGTCACACTCGCTTGCAATATTTCTAGCATTTGTTATCTTGCAAAAACCATTCAGTGACCCTTCTGTTTCCCTCCAGGGTGGCATTTTGTGCCTGGCTCATAGCCAACATGCTCTTCTCCATGCCTGTCCTTGTCTACGGTGGCTACATGATGCTGGTCACTGGGGCCTTTGTGCTCTTCTCGCTACTCTCGTTCTCCACGGTGAGGAACTTCCCAATGTGTGCCATCCAGTTTGGACCTGCCTCCTTAGAGACTGTCTACGGGGGATCCTTCTGGCTCACACTGGCAACAAGTAGGCATTTCAGATTGTTCAAGTGCCTCCCAGAGGCTGCTTTCAAGCATCCTTAGGATCCAAGAGGCTTTTGCGAGTCATAATTGTCAGGTCAACAGTCCTGCTGGGGAATTAGATTGAAATGGTTCATTATGTGCCACAGAAAAATTCCCAGCCATTTGCCCTGAATAGCACTGTCTGCTGAAAAGCAGCAAACCCCTAGTAGGGGAATGGGGAGGATATAGTAGACTTCTTACAGTAGCTTCTGGGTTTCATGTATATGGTGGAAGGTACTCTGAACCAATTAGCCTCTAGGGTGCCATCCTGCCCTATCTTTTGCCTGACTGACATAGATAACAGCCTCTCTGCACTATTCCCTCCACTGGTGTGTCCTCTGAAATGTCCTACTGATGGCCCTGTGTTCAGGAATATGAGGTTTTTAGGGATTTGATGAGACTGAGGCTTCCAATATATCTCTGTCATCCATAGCAGAAGGCTTTTGCCTGTGAAAATCTCTCTCCCCTGAGTCAGACAGCCCTCAAGCCTAGGGGGAATAGGACCACATGCAATGCTTGGAAGGAAGGCGTTGCCACCCTGGTGTGTAATCCATGGAAGGGAAGCTCCCTAAGGAGGTGATGTGTTTCTTATGCTTTCCAGGCTTGCTTTGTTTCCTGATTGGGATGTTCGTGATTGTGCTGAACTACTGGAGGCCCAAGCAGCTGAAAGCTTTCTTTGATCTGTGTGAGGATGAGGAGGAAGGAGGCAAGGAGCTGGGGGAAGTGTACGTCAACCCCCAGCTGGTAGCAGGTGAAGTGTTGGTTCCTCCTTCGGACTTTAGGCTGACTGTCAAGAATATATAGAGGAAACTTCTCCTCCTCCTGCCAGCCCTCCCTTGCTGACACCAGAAACAAGGGAGCAGAACATCAAGGAGTCCTGACCTTCCCGGTCTCTGTGCTGAGATCCAGGTCCCACATCCTCCCACCACCCAAGAAATCAATGAGCTTCCTCCCCTCACTTTGCTGGGTTGAGGACTCACCAAGCAGCCTGGAATGGAAGATTGTGATCTCTGGGGAAAGGGAAGGCTTTGAATCCAGAGTCAGCAAGGACTCTGCACCCAGTTACTGGGATCATTGGTGGTGGTGCAGCCATTTTGAGCCAACTAACCACTCCAGGGACACTGCCTCCTAGGAGGCATTTCCACTTGCACTCTGGGTCCCTTTGAGGAGTCAGTCTCAACCCTTCTCCCATGGGACTCGCACTTGATCTTGGAAGCTGAGCTTCTCAAATGGAGCGTCTGAGACACCAGGCACTCCAGTCCTGTGAAATGATACTGGCATCCAGTATCATGTATATCTGACTGAAAAGGCCAGAACTAATATGAAGAATATTGAAGTTTGTTGGTATGTTCAATGAGCAGTTCCCTGGGAGAGAAATGTCACGTGCAACAGCAGTTGGTCCATACCAGGGTTTTTCCAGTGAATGTCGTATGACCACGGTCTTGCAGATTATGACTGGACTGGCACCACTCCTTACATCAGGGAGTGGATAGAGAATAATGACCCATGGTGAGATGTATAGTGGGTGCCACACTGAGGCATTGCAATAACCAGATGTAGAAGAGCAACTGTGGGGCACAAGGGGTAGGACAAAAGGTAAGCAGCCTGTTTGAAAAAGGCCTTGGTCATTTCACTAACAGTGGGCCTGATGCCAAGTGGAGGCCAGACCCAGCACCTAGGGAAGCCAATGAAGCTGCTGGTGTGTAGCCTGCTTGAGATCAGGCTCCTTCCACTGTCAATCCCATTGTGGATGTTCACCTGGCACTAACTCAATTCTCTCCCAGTGACTTCTGTGCTTAACCCTCCTTGTTGGGTTGATTTTTATTTATTTCATCCTCCCTGGCTGTATTTTGGAATCTGTGTGTGCGCACATGTATATGTTGTGCTGAGTTTGTGATTTTTCAGGGAAGTTTTATTTATGCCTGCTCTGTGCTATGAATGCTGTAATAAAGAAATAGAAATGTTGTCATCTGAAGTCTCCTGATACTTTCTGTTTCAATGACATATTTTTAAATAGAAGTTACTAAGGTGCCTAAGTGACTTAGGAGCACAGGTCCTATGGAGTGTCAAGGCTAGGAAAGGTGTCATTCCAGTCAGATCTAGATGTTCAAATGCTTCAGGGGGCATGTCTACATGTACGCTTTAATGCACAGTAGCCTATTTTACAGTGCATCATAGTGTCACAAAGAAAACAGTGCAACCATGCTAATGCACAGTAAAACAGGCTACTGCACACTGAGTGTCACTTAAAAACCATGCACATTCATTACTGCACATTAAGGCAGCCTAACGTGCATTTCTTTAGTATCTCACATTGGAGGTACTAAATTTCATGTGCATTAGAAAAAGTACCTTAATGCATGTGTAGACAAACCCAGAGCCCCTTCATCTCTGTGCCTAATTCCTGAACCTGAACGCATCTGCTGCCCATCACATCACATTCCCTCAGCCTGGGTCTCAGCTCTCCACTCTGTAAAGTGAACAAAAGCCTAGGGATACAGAACTGCAAGTGTTCCCGCAACTGCAGGTGACCACATTTATATCATCTCTGTCACAAACAGATCATTAGGTTGTTTGTCCCCAATTGCTCCTATGGGAAGCCCATTCAAGAACTTCCCTGTTCAGGGGGTGAGACATGTTCTTCTAGTTTCCAGGCCAAATGTTATCCTGGATATTTTATACCCATTTGCTCTTGGGCCAATGCTGTCTTTTAGTTTAAAAGCTCTTCTCCTTCCCTGGTGCCTATACCCTATGATGTGTTTATAGACAGCAACCAAATCCTCTAATTCTGAGTTGGGGTTTTTAGGCCTCTACAAAATGTACATTTTGCACATTTATGGGAAAAATCCTTATTGGACAGGGAAGCTGGAGCTCAAAGATTGCATGATGAGTCAATACAAATTCATGGACCACGATACCAACAGCTATCGAAAATTGCCTCTTGGGCAACAGCAGATCATTAAGCAGGTGTAGTATCGTCCTCTTGAAACTATCTAGCCTCTAGCACGGATCTTTGAAAACTCTTGGCGCTCTAGTGTAGTGCCCGAAGACTGGAAGAAGGCCAATGTGGTGCCTATCTTCAAGAAAGGGAGGAAAGTGGATCCAGCTAACTATAGGCCCATCAGCCTGACTTCTGTCCCGGGGAAGATCTTAGAAAAGTTTATTAAAGAGGCCATCCTTAATGGACTGGCCGACGCCAACATCTTAAGGGATAGCCAGCACGGGTTTGTTGCAGGTAGGTCTTGCTTGACCAATCTCATTTCCTTCTACGACCAGGTGACCTATCACCTGGACAAGGGAGAAGAGATTGATGTCATATATCTTGACTTCAAAAAAGCCTTCGATCTAGTGTCCCATGATCGCCTCTTGGAGAAACTGGCCAATTGTCGCCTTGGGTCCTCCACGATCCGCTGGCTGGAAAATTGGCTCCGGGGTCGGACCCAGAGGGTAGTAATCGATGGAAGTCACTCATCGTGGTGTCCTGTGACCAGTGGGGTCCCCCAAGGCTCTGTCCTTGGACCCATACTGTTCAACATCTTCATTAATGATGTGGACACTGGAGTCAGAAGTGATCAGAACTGGCCAAGTTCGCCGATGACACCAAACTTTGGGGCAAAGCATCCACACCAGAAGACAGGCAGGTTATCCAGGCTGACCTGGACAGGCTCAGCAAGTGGGCGGACGAGAATCTGATGGTGTTCAACGCCGATAAATGCAAGGTTCTCCACCTTGGGAAAAAAAACCCGCAGCATCCTTATAGGCTCGGCAGTGCTATGTTGGCTAGCACTATGGAAGAAAGAGACTTGGGGGTCATCATTGACCACAAGATGAACATGAGCCTGCAATGCGATGCGGCGGCTAGTAAAGCGACCAAAACGCTGGCTTGCATCCATAGATGCTTCTCAAGCAAATCCCGGGACGTCATTCTCCCCCTGTACTCGGCCTTAGTGAGGCCGCAGCTGGAGTACTGTGTCCAGTTTTGGGCTCCACAATTCAAAAAGGATGTGGAGAAGCTTGAGAGAGTCCAGAGAAGAGCCACGCGCATGATCAGAGGTCAGGGAAGCAGACCCTACGATGACAGGCTGAGAGCCCTGGGGCTCTTTAGCCTGAAAAAGCGCAGGCTCAGGGGTGATCTGATGGCCACCTACAAGTTTATCAGGGGTGACCACCAGCATCTGGGGGAACGTTTGTTCACCAGAGCGCCCCAAGGGATGACGAGGTCGAATGGTCACAAACTACTTCAAGACCGTTTCAGGCTGGACATAAGGAAGAACTTCTTTACTGTCCGAGCCCCCAAGGTCTGGAACAGCCTGCCACCGGAGGTGGTTCAAGCGCCTTCATTGAACACCTTCAAGATGAAACTGGATGCTTATCTTGCTGGGATCCTATGACCCCAGCTGACTTCCTGCCCTTTGGGCGGGGGGCTGGACTCGATGATCTTCCGAGGTCCCTTCCAGCCCTGATGTCTATGAAATCTATGAAATCTTTAGAAGCACCTGCTCTGAAATCTGATTATTTCTGTAGAGCTGATAAGGTGATGGTCTCTATGATTAATCACCAGCCTTTTCCTTTCACTGGGATTGTGCTTCCTGCTTCCTGGTAGGGGTTTTACATACAGCCTAAGAATCATCCACACAGCTTGTGATCTCCCTTCACCATTTCACTTAGGTCTATGTTAAATGAAAGTTATTTGCAACGAGGTTGTCTCAGGATTTCACCCAGAAATGGCACAGTCATCCTTTCAAGCTGCACTGCTGCCAGGAGGTAGCCAGCAAGAGTACACAGCCTGGCCAGCTTGTCCAGGGAATGACCTGCAATAACCCTACCGATGCACACAGCCATATCCTGGGACAAAGCATTAGCACATTTTATTCCACATACTTTAGAGCAGTGATTCTCAACCAGGGTACTGTGGTACTGTGAAGGGCCCAGAGATCTTTTCAAGGGTACTGCGGGGTCTCATGCAACATGATTCACAAGATAAACCCAGAGATTTCAAATAGGAATCCATGGTGTCATGGGCAGATCTAGAATTTTGAGAAGGGGGGGAGGGTGCAGATGGTGAGGTGCATTATCACACAACAACACATAATTTTCTCCAGTTAAAAATAAACCGGAGTTTCTAATAATGGGCCAGGGGGTATAGGGTTGTATTACTGAGGTTAAGAGGAAAGCAAAAACAAACAGAACTTATTTGGAATGAGTTAAAAACAGTCTGCAGGGCTATGCAATATGAGCTTCATTAAGAGAAGCAACTAAAAGACAGCAGAATTGCAGAACAATTGCCAGCTTGAACATCAAGCCCATTAAAAAGAAGAGAGAGTCATTCACCTGAGGAATTAAGAGTTTAGAAGGGAGCAGGTAGATTATAATGAACCATGATGTCAATGGATGCCCTCAGCACTGCCTGACTAGAAATGCTGCTGCCACTGCTAGGCAGTTGGTTTTAAAATTTGGGTGGAGCAGAAATCAAAGAGGGGTGCAATGACACCAGTGCATCGCCCCTGGACCCACCCCTACATGGTGTGAAAAAAACCATGTCCTTTTGCAGCCTTTCTGAGTTCTTTGCAAAAGAAGACTTGCTTTAGTATTTTTCTCCAGTCAAAAGCACAAGTGAAAACTGAGAGCTGGCATTTTCCGAGGGATGTCTCAAGGCCACGGAGGGGTGCCTGGAGACAAAGAAAGGTTGAGAATGACTGCTTCAGAGGTACCTGAAGTGGCCCAGTGGATCTGTACATTTGTAGGACTCTGGGCTTTTCCCCAAAATTAATGTGATGGCTCTTTACATCTGTGGAGCACAGACTCTAGCGAGGACACCAGCCAAAGCGTTTGCTGCTTTCTGCTCCCATCCAAACCAAATGCCCTTTGGCTTGGGGGAGGAATGCC